CCGCAAATGTGCGCAATCTTGTCTTCACAAGAAGAACGCAAGGATAGTCTGGGCAACAACAGGAAAAATCATACACACAAGAACTGACGGAAAATGAAAATGAGCAGCCACAAACATACATTGCAATGGGCAGCATGAAAAAATAAAAACAAGCCAAAATCAACAGAATGCCAAAAATCTCTTATGAACGAGCACAGCATTATAAAAGTCAAAGACACGTGTTGTCTGATTTCTTTTCTTCCTTGTTTCCTTGTGGAGCTCATTCTGCACGCAATGGCCACGGGCAGCCCTCTGAGATGCGAGTCCCAGGGTGTGCTGCGTGTAGCGGCGTGCGAATCTTCATTTTTTAGCCGTGTTTTGTTCGCCTTCGGGCTCGGCCTGTGGCAGATGTTGGATGCTGATGGACTGTTTTGATTGTGGTGCTCTACATGGTGTTGTCTGGTATTCTTGATGACAGGTGTGTGGCCCGGAGAACGCAAGTCCGCTGAAAAGGATGCTTTACTTTTACATACTTTTACTGGGACTTCTCTGGCTTGCTACAAGTTGGTTTGTTTCTGGTGGCTGTGCATGTTATCTTTCCCTTCGTTTTTTGTATTTGGGAAAGAGCGGGGAATCTCAAGCAAGAAGGTGACAAAGGCGCGGAAAGACTTCATCCATATAAGCAGACAAAGAAAGAATGCCACTGAAGATGAAAGCAACCGGCCACACATGCTGCAAGCTAGTCTTCACAAACACAGAACAGCAGGGAAAACAAAGAATCTGGTCAAAAAATACTGATGAATATTGTAGCAAGAACCGCTGGTGATCGTCATTGCATGAGAGGAAGCCAAACAAAATAGGCCCGATACCGAATACAGAAACCTTTCTTCAACAAACGCAGCTTCAAAGCCAAAGAAAGCTGATATTATCCTATGTGCTCATTCAATTTTTTGCTGGGGATCCGTCGGGGACGCATCGGCCAGGGCAATGCCTTGTGAAATGCTCGTCCCAAGATGTGAATGTGTCTTGCAGCGTGTGAATTGCCATTTTATAAGGGCGCTTTGTGCGCCTTCAATCTCACCCTGTGGCAGCTGCAGGATGGTGATGGATGGTGGTCATCAAAGTTTTTTTTGAAGGGCCTTTGGCACGGAGCATGCTTGTGAGTCACCCCGCCATGGGTCGCCACAAGCTGGTTTGTTTCTGTCTTCCGTGCACGTTGTGCTGTCTTTCGTTTTGCACTTTAAAGAGCTGCGAAACTAAAGCAGAGGCGTGAAGAAAGTAAGGTGCCGTGGTTCCGCCTGGTCTCTCCTCACGGCGTTGCTTGCCAACCCGAAAGCACGCTTAATTAAATAAATCCAAAAAGCTCCAAACCTATCCTGAATAAGCTCTAAACCAGCCCTGAGTAGATCATGAACAAACCCTGAACCAACCCCGCATAAACCCCAAGCAGACCCTAAATAAACATTAACTAACCCTAACCCGCTCCCCCCCCCGCTTTGTGTCATGCTGGAATCCACAACAACAGATTTGATGGCCGCAAGCTCAAACTTTATAGTTTCTTATAAAATGACAGTCCGCCGCTCCATTACAAGCATTCCGAACCATCATTTTATAAGGCAATGTTCTCCAAATGTTATTAAATGACAACTAGAGTCTATACATGACAAGTTTAAAAGGAACCATGATTTTATAACCCCAACATGTAGTAAAAAAATATACAAATATATATTTTTTTATGCTGACCCCGCCCCCCATGTTTTCTCCTGAGGAGATACCGGGGTTTGCCATTTTATAGCCCCCAGAAAAAGGGGCGGTTTATAAAATGACAGTTTCAAGCAGGGATCTTCCCAAACCCGTTATTGCAAAAGACACCATTTTATAAGCAATTTCATGTTTGATTTTAACCCGGGGGGCGGGACTCAATAAGAAATGAATGGCGCCACCCGGGTGGCGCCATTTAATAAGGAATATTATAAGGGGGATTTCTGGCATATGTTCTGGCATTCTATCCGGCATATCTTCTGCCATATCTTCTGTTATCTGGCATTCTATCTAGCAAATCTTCTGGCATTCTATCGGGCAAACATTCTGGCACTTTATCTGGCAAACCTTCTGGCATTCTATCTGGCATACCTTCTGGCATTCTATCTGGCATATCTTCTGGCATTCTATCTGGCATATCTTCTGGCATTTTCTGGCATATCTTCTGGCATTCTATCTGGCATTCTACCTGGCATATCTTCTGGCATATGTTCTGGCATATCTTCTGGCACTCTATCTGACATATCTTCTGGCATATCTTCTGGCATTCTATCTGGCAAATCTTCTGACATCCTATCTGGCATTCTATCTGGCATATCTTCTGGCATATCTTCTGACATCCTAATCCTATCTGGCATTCTATCTGGCAAATCTTCTGGCATTCTATCTGGCATTCTATCTGGCATATCTTCTGGCATTCTATCTGGCCGCTGAGGTCCAGCGGTGCCCACTGAGCTCTGAAGGTCCCAGGTTGAGGTCCAGCGGTGCCCACTGAGCTCCGAAGGTCCCAGGTTGAGGTCCAGCGGTGCCCACTCAGATCGGCAGCCGGCAGTTGAGGTCCAGCAGTGCCCACTGCGCGCAGAAGTTGGCAAGGAGATTGGCGCGCAGAAGTTGGCGAAGAGTTGGCAAGGCGGAAGTGGACATGGAAGTGGATGCAGAGGTGGTGGAGAAGAAGGAGGAGGACGAGGAGGAGGCGGAGGAGGAGGAGGAGGAGGCGGAAGAACAGCTCTGATAAAATCTAACAACCCTCACCTGGCAGGTGGGGAATAATGTGGTGAACTATTGGAAACTCATTTCCAGAATGGAACATCATAGGGGATAAGATGCAAAATATATTTATGTGCTTGTTGATTCAATTTAGACATACCTAAAACATGAATAAACATGACATACTACAAAAAACAATAGAAGTACACTCTGAATGCATTTTTCTTCAGGGTAGGAAATTGTTTGGGGATTTTTTTTTGGATTTCCGGTTCTCACCATTTTCCATGCTATTTGCAGCATTTTGGAGCTGGAAACTGCCATTTCCACGGTATGTGCAACGGTTTTGAGTTCGAACCTCTCATTTTACATTGTATTTTCCACGGTATTTGCAACAGTTTGCAGCATGTTCTGTCCATTTTCCATGCTCTTTTGAGCTGGAATCTGCATTTCCACCGTATGTGCAACATTTTACAGCTACATTCCTCACAGTACTTGCAGGATTTTGGAGCTGAAGGCTGACATTCCAACAGTTGTTTGTTGTTACTGTTACTGTTGTTGGTGTTGGTGTTGGTGTTGTTGTTGTTGGTGGTGTTGTTGTTGTTGGTGGTGGTGGTGGTCGTGTTGTTGCTGTTGTTGTTGCTGTTGTTGTTGCTGTTGTTAGTGTTGTTAGTGTTGTTAGTGTTGTTAGTGTTGTTAGTGTTGTTAGTGTTGTGTTAGTGTTGTTGTTGTTGTTGGTGGTGGTGGTGTTGTTGTTGTTGGTGGTGGTGTTGGTGTTGTTGTTGTTGGTGGTGGTGTTGTTGTTGTTGGTGGTGGTGTTGTTGCTGGCGGTTGTGTTTGTGTTGCTAGTGTTGTTATTGTTGTTGTCGTTGTCGTTGTCCTTGTCGTCGTTGTTGTTGTTGTTGTTGTTGTTGTTGTTGTTGTTGTTGTTGTTGTTGTTGTTGTTGTTGTTGTTGGTGGTGGTGGTGTTGTTGTTGTTGTTGTTGTTGTTGGTTTAGTGGTGTTGTTGTTGTTGTTGCTGTTGTTAGTGTTGTTGTTGTTACCGTTAGTGTTGTTAGTGTTGTTAGTGTTGCTAGCGTTAGTGTTGTTAGTGTTGTTAGTGTTGTAGTGTTGTTAGTGTTGTTAGTGTTGTTAGTGTTGTTAGTGTTGTTAGTGTTGTTAGTGTTGTTAGTGTTGTTAGTGTGTTGTGTTAGTGTTGTTGTTGTTGTTGTTGTTGTTGTTGTTGTTGTTGTTGTTGTTGTTGTTGTTTGTTGTTGTTGTTGTTGTTGTTGTTGTTGTTGTTGTTGTTGTTGTTGTTGTTGTTGTTGTTGTTGTGTGTTGTTGTGTGTTGTTGTGTGTTGTTGTTGTTGTTGTTGTTGTTGTTGTTGTTGTTGTTGTTGTTGTTGTTGTTGTTGTTGTTGTTGTTGTTGTTGTTGTTGGTGTTGTTGTTTGTGTTGTTGTTGTTGTTGTTGTTGTTGTTGTTGTTGTTGTTGTTGTTGTTGTTGTTGTTGTTGTTGTTGTTGTTGTTGTTGTTGTTGTTGTTGTTGTTGTTGTTGTTGTTGTTGTTGTTGTTGTTGTTGTTGTTGTTGTTGTTGTTGGTGTTGTTGTTGGTGTTGTTGTTGTTGTTGATGTTGCTCCACACCTCATGGAAAAGCAAAAAAGCAAAGAAAAGCAAAAAAGCAAAGAAAAGCAAGAAAAGCAAAGAAAAGCAGAAAAGCGAGAAAAGCAAAAAAGCAAAGAAAAGCAAGGAAAGCAAAAAAGCAAAGAAAAGCAGAAAAGCAAGAAAAGCAAAAAAGCAAAGAAAAGCAAGAAAAGCAAAAAAGCAAAGAAAAGCAAGAAAAGCAAAAAAAGGAATAGAAGCAAAGAAGCAGAGAAGCACTGCAGGAGGCAATAGAGTAAGCAGGAAGAAATCCAAACAAAAATCCCTAAACTAAAAAAAAATCCCTAAATAAATGGCCCTCCTTTTTCTTCAGTATATATAGGTTACGGTATAGTATAACTATATACATACATATTATATAGATAAACATGATTTTACACATACAATCTTTTTTTACATATACAATCATATACTACATATAAACAGTATAAGTAAATAACATTGAGTGCATACGCAAATAAACGAATAAAAAAAATATGCATCCCCAATTTTTATTTATAAACACTCAAAACATCAGTTGGAACCATCCAAAATCCAAAACATGTCCGTTAAAAAAAAACCGCTTGAGGGTTGGCTCCTCTGAAGGTTATTTCAAAATATATGAATGTTCATGGTACCAGTACTTCCTCCAGGTCACACTTTCCTCCTGCTCCACCTTGTGATCCAAACAGGCAGCCACGAACTCGGTGTAGTCAATGACCCCCCGGCCATCCAAATCCACAGAACGAAAGATCTCAGCAGCCTTGCCCGAGCCATCCAAGTCTGGGTGACTACCTGGCAGCGAACAACTGCAAAACACATTCTACATTGTGTCGTTAGTGAAAGTTCACATGCATATATATATATACACAATATCATATATAAATATAATATCATATATAACATAATAAAACATACTATAACATATTATATATATAGACATATGCCATATTATATATTATATACTATAGTAATGCTTTTATATGTGGCCATGTGACAGTCGTCATCTTACCGGTACAGCTGCATAATTATTGCCATTACTTTCTGTTTTTTAAAAGAAAACGTATCCGAAAAAGGCAAAATGAGTCATACTGTAGGTCAAAAAAAAGACAAAACAATCACAACAATCACCACCCAGCAGCTGCTGTTGAGATTGAAATCTCGCAACACATTTTTGAACTCAGCGAAGGTCACTACTCCATTTTCATCCTGTCGCTGTGGCGCACTGTGGGGCTGGTCGGCTGGTCACGTTTTTCTGCAGTTGAAACATGTTGAAACCAGGTGGTGGGTGCAACTTGCCACTTTGGAACCTTTACCGAAGGAAGTTTAGAAGTCAAACTTCCGACAATATGGACAGATGGAAAAGCAGAGGTGGTAAGAGTCAGTAAGAGCAGAAGAAAGAAGATCAGAGAAGAGAAAGAGCGAGAAGAAAGAAGATGCAGGTGTGCTAGCATCGCCCCTCGACGATACAACATGCCGAAAATCTCTTTGAGATCCAGAGGAGAACCTACATCGCAGCACACTCTACTTGTGGTAGCAGGAAGCCACAGAAGCGCTGGAAAGATAGGGAAAGAGGATGAAAATCAAATGAAACAGTTGAGCAGACTGCTCCGCAAGCATGCTAGGATAGAATCCAAATGCACGCCCCTGCTCTGACAGAAGGGTGGGATTCAGGTGAAATGCATATCTAAGCTCTGTGGTGAACAGCAAGCATCAACCCCAGAAAAAGGATAAAAATCAGATTTAAACCATTTGTACTTCAATTTTCACTCCTTTTCCTCCAACCACCTTTCAGTCCATCAGTGGATTCGCTCTGCCATCTGTGATTCACAACAACCAACCTCTCCTATAAGTTTCCCAGGTTTGAAGCTTCCGCCACCGCCTTGTGTGGTACTACTGGTATACTGATGTATACTGTAGATATCTCTAGATCTGAGGAAAATCCATCCACCTGGGTGGAACAAACATCATTTTCGGCCCTCCTGGTCAATTTCGCAAAAGGCCCGATGAAGCTCGTGTAAGTCACCTTCATCCAGTTGTTTGGCAAGACCCCCAGCGGCCAAATGTCGGAAGAAATTCTGCTGGTGAAAGCTTTCCTCGGGATCGACACATTAAACCGCCATGGGCAATTGCAATGGTGTCCTCTTGGGTTGTGCAAAGCACAGCCCAAAGAGGAACATGGTCTCAAAGGCCGCTTGGGATTCTGAAACTCAACTGGCCCTATCCTCTAGGAAAGAACCGCCTGCCATAGTACACAACTCCTTAGGCACGGAGATCCCTAAACGAATGACCTTTCCGCCTGTACACCTCACTTCGAAACCTCCTATGTTTTAAAAACTTGTCTTTTTGGTCCTATTTTTTTCAGAGGGAGTTGATCATAACATTTGTAGCATCCATGGACCTCATGGACCTGGTTCTTGTCGATCTTGTTGTGTTTTTTGCCATTCCAACATCTTTCCAAAACTATCCAAAAGGGTATCTCTTGAGGAAGCGCGTGGCAATAATATGCAATAATAATCCTTTCACTATCAAAACGTCTACTGAGTTTACTGTCTACATTGCCATCCCGCACATATTTCACCACATGTACTGGCCCCATGTCAAGAATTATTTCCAAATCCGATTTCACTGATTTCACCTTCACCATGATTTTCAGCACATCATTTCCAGATCGATCGATCATATATCGTGAAGAAATGCTGATTTCCATCATGATTTTCGCAGCTCCATGATGTCCCATGATGTCCCAGTTTCCAAGGCCTTGAGATGTTTCAAGGCTGTAGCTTCCAGTTGCTGATGTGGTGCCGATCTCTGCAACCAGGGATGTTCCAGCAACTCCTTAGCAGAAAGACGTCGGCTCGGCTCCACCTTTAGCAGCAGATCGATCACTTCTTTGGCTTCCTGGGAGACGCCCTCCCAGTCATCCATGGAGTAGCGGCCTTCCAAGATTCCTGGTCTTTCTTTTAGGCTCTTGGTTTTGGATGATTTGGGTTGGATTTCTAGATGAGGAACCTGAGACAAGTGTTTGAAGGTGGTCGGTTTGTGAAGAAAACATGTTTTTAAGCAAAGTCTTGAATTGAAGGACTTTTGATCGTTTCTGATGGGGGAAATCATTCACACATAGCACTGAGTTTTTGAAATTTGTTTTGGAAGTTTGATGGCTTTAGATTCGCGTCGTAACCAATAGAAAAACCAATGATCGAAAACGAGCTTCTCGCTTGGCAATCACTGCCATAGAAGGGCGAATCTCCAGACAACAGCACGAAGAGAACACAACCCAGGGCCCACATGTCAATCTTCTCATCACAGCAGTCACCCTTCAGAATTTCGGGTGCACTATACCTGGATATGAGTGGATCTGGTGAATCATATTAGACTTTTTTTTTGTGTTCCCTTTTTTGGTGGCAGAATCTTGCCAATGGCAACGAGTTATAATATGTTATAACTGGAGTCCATATATTCCATCCACCAAAGAGGAACTATTGAGGCTATTGATTCTTTGAACAGCTTCAACATGCTTCAAGCATCTTCAACCCATCCCGCTGTATCGACTGTATCTTCTAACAAGCCTAATATGGGATGTAATTATTCAAATTTTCTAGATGATGAGGGCTACACACATACCTCACATCTTCTCAGATCTACAAAATTCTACAAATCTCAAAATTCACCAAAGCGCACAAAGGTCCCAACTTTGGCCCGCAATTTCACGCCCTCTAGGATGCGACTCCCGAAGCCAAAGTCGATGAGCTTCACTGTAAGCTCTTGATCTTCATCGACCACCAGGATATTCTCCTGGAAAAAAAAACCAGCAGTTTATGGTGAATTATGGGCTAATTTAATGGGGATATCACGGGGATACACTATATTGAGATAAACTGATAGATTCATTAGATTCTGATAGATCCTCCCTGCGAAACTGCAGACAAGTTTCAATCATCCAAGAATACGTACATGATACGAACATGATTCAAGACATAGCCAATTCGTTGTGGGAACAGTTCAGATAGTCAACTCTATGGGATCTGGACATATCTGACCCATGAGGCTTCCCCGTGGAACCATCGAGTTCCTGTTCCAGGGTTAGATTCTGTTGGCTCCAACGCTGGCTTTGGGCGGCCAGCATGGAGCATGATGGAACATATGGCAAACAGGGTACCAAAAAGAACCTGCCCATACCTGCGTTGCTTCCAGTCTACTCATCGCCATCGCCAACCGGTGGCACTAATTAGAGCGAGAAACCATGGGTGCCCATCCCCAAAAATGGATCAACATGGGCTGTTTAGTGCTAGTCACTGCTAGTCAACTGGACTTTCTTCCCTCTTGGCTCCATTAGACAGGGATTCGACCAGCAAATGCTGCACGAGTGTGGAATGTCATCGAATTCCTAGTCAATTTGAGCTAACATGGTGATAAATCTTCGTCAAATTGACGGAACAGTGACCCCAAAGTGCCTGCAAATACATGTTCCTCCTTTCTGGTTCATCCCACTTGGCAAGTATAAGTTATAACTCTGTTATGGGCTAAGTAGGGTTCCACTATGTTCCACTTCAAACGCTCTTCAAACTGGGGTTACAATATGTTACAATTAATGAACTGAACCCATGTACAAACTGGGATGAACATGATGAACGACCAAGTCATCAGCAGAACTTCGGCCCGCTCCGGTTTGATATCCCGATGCACCACGCCATGTTCGTGGCAGTATGCCAGCGCCGAAGCGACCTGCCTCACCACACGAGCTGCCGTGGGCTCCGACAAATGGCCCACGTCCACCACGTGCTCGAAAAGTTCGCCGCCCTGGAGGTGTTCCATCACCAAATACCTGGCTGATGACGATGAACATACTGAGATAATATAACAACAGGTATGTGGACGAGTCAACGATCAACACTTCCTGTCAACAAGATACATACAAAAAAGTCATAATTTCATACTTCTACAGATGTTACGCTAAATATCATAAACATTAGTAAACCAGGATGTATACGATGTTACATCGTGCCATAAATCATCCCTTATATCCCTTTGATGTTTCCCTTTTTCCAAGGCGCAAATTCTTGGGATCTTCGTAGACCTGCAGTAGCCGGCAGATCGAGGGATGGTCCAAGGATTTCATCAGTTCCACCTCCACCCGAAACTCTTCCAAGGCTTCTTCGGAATCGGCGCCCTCCGCATCAAGGCCTGCTTGGACGTTGGGCTTCCGCACGCGTTTCACTGCGCAGAGCCGACCCTCTCCTCAAACGACACAATTGGCCGGTTGAGCCACCCGAAAAAAATATCGTGAATTGAAGATCATCATCCCTTTCCTGGGAGGAAACCATACAATAACCGTAGCCACTAACCACCTCACAGATCCCAAAAAATGTTATCATCATTGGTCCTTCTCCTCATTCTCCTCCCACTTTTGGGCAAATGGGACAAAACATGACAAAACCCACCACAAAACCCAGCCCTGAACCAGTCTCGTTCATGGCTCCCTGACAGAATTCGCTGACGCGCCAAGAAGACTTCGCCATACGCTCCTTCGCCCAAATCGCGCACGCGCACGTAGAAGTCGGACAATCGGCCACTCGCTTCGCGAAGGAACTGCTTACCTTGTGGATTTTTTGGTGAAGCCAGCTGGCAGCTGGGGACCCCAAAAACATCTCTCAGCCGCTTCTACGAGCAAGTGATGTACAATGTTCCGCTCATTTGGGTTTGGGTCTTGCATATGCCTTGAATGTAGCACTTTCTTTGGCTTTTGGACCTTGTTTAAGTATCCGAGCAAGAATTGCTTTGAGATGCTTTCAGCATCGGCATTTTTAGAAATGCGAACCAACCCAGCCAGGCATGTAACCCAGCCATGGGTGTTTTTATGGTGTACTGGTCCATCCGATCTATCCCTATGATGTTTGTGCCTTCAGTGAGCTTCAGTGACTCCATTCCTCCAAAGCCTTGAGAGTCTCGAGAGTTGAAGGGAGTGCGTTTCATGGCATCTGGAGCGAGTTTCAAGCTACTGGACAGTCTGACAAGTGAACTGCTGGTAAATGTGTGTGCTGATGTGCATGTCGTGTCAGGTCTTTGTCCCAGCTCCTTTGCATTTTTTGTGAGGGTTGAACATATTCTATCCGTTCGGACATTTGTACACCAGTTCGAGCAAAATTTCAGTGACAAATGGTGCTTTGCGTGGATTCATTCGCTTCATTCACCACTCTAAAATCTCCCATTTTCAGGCATGGCACGGATTGTGAATTGCAAAACAAGAGTAAGTGATTTGGGGAATTACCAAACAGAAACAACATTCAATTACCAAACAAAACTATCATTTTTGCAATTCCCATAGGTTAAAAATGGTTAAAACATGTGAATCTGAAGCCATCTGAAGCCTTAACCAGTTGCAATCCACCGTTGTCCCAGTGCTCTGTGGATGCTCATCTGCAGCTGAGAGAAGTCCTCCCATGGCTTCAATATTAGTGGTCCAAGGCCACAACGCAGCTGTACCAACGGCTGCAGCGAATGAAACGTGGCGAAGACTGGAAGACTGGAAGACTGGACCCTCAGTCAAACGTGGCTGGAAAATGCTGGAAAATTCCCTCCAGCCATGGAATTTTATGGAATTTTGTAGCTGGGAAAATCATCCAGAAAAATAGGCAATTGTGTGCAATTGTCCATTGCCATTGCCATGTTTGATTACCAGACGCGCAATTGTAGAAGTCTTCCATGACCGGAGCTTTCTCACACCTATTTGCTGGGGTATTTCACCGGTACTCAAACTGTTTCAGTCACCTAAGATATAGGGGTCGTGGTCCCCAAGGACTCAGTTTTCCATGTTTTCCTTTACTGGTGGCTCGGCAACCAGCTATAAACCAGCCCAGCAAGAATGGATAACCCTTCCCTAGTACTATATAAATATCATCCGATGGAAACATACTCCCATAATACGGATGCGAGAAACCACCATATTTTCACTGGTTAAACACTGCATTTGGATTCAAAACATAGAAAAGCTCCAGTAATTCCAGCATATTCCAGCAAACGTGGGTTAAACATGGAATAAATATGAATAAATATGGTTAACATTCCCCAATCATGGTTGATTTATAATATAAATTATAGGGGTAGTATGAGGTAGTGCCCCTTTGGGCTATGTGAGAATAGTCTATTACACCACTGGACACTCCACTGCACCTTTGCTTCGACCACATCGTAGTCGATTCCCGTGGACTTCTTGTCACTGTTGAGCCAACGGCCTGATGGACAAGTCAGGGCTGTCATGGGCCGGGCCATCGTAGTAGGGATGTTTCATGCCATGAGTAGATATGAGTAAATACGATTCATAATCAGCGGATGGAATGAGGTGCCCTGAAAATTCAGGTAACACCCAAATAACTATGTTGAAATGGAGGCTTCGAATAGCCCGAAAGACTTGGATGGATGTTCAGTACCCTCTAGGATTGCCTGGAATCACATCCTGGATTCCAAGGGCATCAACAGGGAATTGCGGAGCTGTTTCATATGATCAAGATGATCAAGACCGTTTGAGCATGTTTGAGCCATTGAGACATCAAAAGTCGAACAAACAATCTTGAAGTTGGCCGCTTTGATTGGACCAAGTTTGGATTGTGGTATTTTGGATTCCAGATTTTGGATGGGAAAAGTCAGCCATTGGATTAGAAAGGAACCATCCAGAAAGCACTTGGAATTCCATCACAATCATCAAACCTCCTGCTTCATGGCTGTGAAATATTCCCACATGTCACCAGATCAGATACCCATACAATCATACATTGTTACATGTGTATATACATACAAACAATATTGAACAAATAATACTCGACGATTGTACACCCACACAAACACACACACACGTATATATATATATGATTATATATGTATATACGCAAATATGTATGCGTGCAGCATATTTTTGTATTTACAAAGCCGCTGCAGTTGCGGCGCCTTCAGCCGCCCTTCGAAACGATGGCATTTTCTCATAAAGGCTTTTCTTGGCGCGAGCGGCAAGCAGTTGCCACTGGCATATGCCACCGGCACATCCAAATAAAAATGTTTCAAAAAACATATGTGCAATCATGTGCATATATATATATATATATCCTGAAGCATCCAACTCCTAGATTTTTTTAGTGGACTTCAGTGTTTGCTGAAATTTCGTGGAAATCCTCTAGAAATTAGCCAGAACAGCTAAGTTCACCAAGTCTCCTGGAAAAATGCATGAAAAGGCAATGCCGCAGTTGTTTTTGCTTATGCCTTTTTCATGGTCACCATTTTGAACATCATTTTGACAAAAATTCCCAATTTGACCCATGCCAGTTTCTTGGTGCTCAAGTTTTCTGACGCGATTTCTCGCCGTCTCAGGTTGGAACCCACCACATGACCACCCCCTCATCTTTGACCAGGTTGGCATCGTCCCCTGCGACCACGTCATGATGGTCATTCGACTCAAGCAGTGATTTTTTGGGGACAAAAAAAACACAACAAAAAGCCACGGAACATTCGGCATTTCCATCCATTTCCCATTACGAATGTTCATTTACCAATGATTCAACATTGGCCGCTAGGGAGGTTATTGGATCCGGGGACCTCCCTGTGTCCATTGGGGTTTCACCACAACAGGCGGCCATCTGAGCTCCCTGACCCTCGAAGGCCCCCTGGGCAAATTCGCGAATCAATTCATCGAAGAGCTTTTGCACCTGTGCCGTGGCTTCTGCGTTTCATGTGGTGCTTTCATACCCCATAGGATCCATGTATGGTATATATATGCTAACATGGGGGGTATATTAATGGTAAATGTTACCATATATGGCATACATGGATCCTATGGGTACGTGGTTTCCTCACAAATTCCAGTGCAAGGTGGCCAAGAATCAGCCCAAATTGCCTGCATAATGACCGAGAGGGACATGTTTCCAGACCATGTGAGTTGCTCTCGAGCGACTGTAGGGAGGCCGATTGGGAGGCCCCTAAGGCGCGGGAATCCCCAATGAATCAGGGACAAAATCTTACCAACCTGCCCATGATTCGTGGTAACGGACATGGGATACCCGGCAGAAAGCTTGACTTTTGGATTGTATTCCTATGTAATCTCCATTAAGCTCCTCCCTCAGAAGATTTCTGGTAGAAATCTGGCCATCAACCTCCGTTGACTACCATTCCCCGAGGTTTCTCCAAATTCCCACGTCTTTGGGGCCCATGGCCTCCATTGCACGTTGATACCACGCAGGGGCGAAGCCAAGCTTGTGCCAACCGCGAGCCTGAACGCATCTGAACACTTGGGAGCTGGAGAAACCCAAATGTTCAATTATCATCATTATTAATTACTATCATCATTAATCATTATTATTACTATATTATACTATATTATTTTAATTATATATTATCATGGTTATTGTGTTTTTCTTCTTCTTCTTCTTCTTATTGTTTTTGTTTTTGAAAATTCGAATCTGACAATCTATGTCCCAATATATCCAATATATGGCTGATTGAAATGAGTTGAAATGAGCCAATCTGGCAAACCAATTGCCATTGGAATCATTAGAACTGACTTGGAACTCTCTGACTTCGTACAATTCGAAGGCGACCAGAATTCAAATAATCTTGATATGAAGGTTTTGTTGTGGACAATATTGGCCAATTCATTGGAATTACGTATTTTAATATACTTTCTGCAGGGATTTCTTCACCTTTTCCTTTGATTTTTGGATGGTTCCTTTTGGTTTTAGGATTCCTGGTCATGAGGCGTTGAGCCCATAACATTCTGTATTATCCATTATATCTCGGCATTGGCATATGTATATATATATACATATGTATGCATATACATATAATATATATCTTTGCGATATGCGATATTAATTCAAATTAATATATATATATATAATTCAATTATGATTCATGTATATATTCTTTCGACCATTTCCATATGATCACCACAAACTATAGAAACATATAGAAACAATAAAAAAGAACGCTAATACATCTTGCCAGCACATGTTTTTCTCAGCACTTTGGTGCTACATCTCGCCCCACCACTCGCCCCAGCAGTGCCCGAAGTGCCCGCAGGCCTCGGCAAAGCTCTGCATGTCCAGCTGAGCCAAATCTAAAGGCACCTGATGCGATGCCAGGAAGCCAGGAATTGCGGTCCAGAAGCCCGGTTTCACTGGTTTCAGGCTTTGTTCCAGTTGCCTCAAACTGCCATAGTTGCCTCAAAGGTATGAACAAATGAGAAAAAATGATCAAAACATGTCAAAATCCAGAAGTTTTTAGCCGCTATGATAGCGCAGCTATGCCACATATCACCACGCTTACATGTTCGGGGTGGCAGTACGATCAGGTCCAGGGCACCAGCAGGTTGTCTGAAGAGAACGAGCACCCTCCAAATCATTGGTGAATTCATCGTCATTTTCCCCAAGAAAAGTTGCCATGTGGGGGTATACCCCATTTTCAGACATACCCAAATACATCAGCTTGTTAGCTTATATGCCTATTATTTACCATTATAGATAGTAGGTCGCATCCCCATTGCATATCAGTATATAAAATATAAAAGTACGATTTGGTTGTTTAACATAGCCACGGAAAATCACCATTTTAAATAGGTAAACCATCTATAAATGGGCCATTTTCCATGGCTATGTTAAATAACCAGAGGGTATACACAATATACATTCCGATTATGTCCCCACTAATTATATCCCAAGTGGCAAGAGGTAAACCATCACTACCTGAGCTTCAGCTCGTCCCACGGACAAGCGGCGGATGCCATGTGATCTGCAATCAGCTTCAACTGCTCCTGCCGGGAAAGACCCAAGCTCAAAGGCTTTTTGCCCATAGAAAGTGGGTTTTCAATGGTTTTCATGTTTTTCCAATCAATTTGAACATAGTTGAACAACATACAATTGTGTCAAAATTGGGCTACGACC